GGAAAAAAAGAGTTGAATAATGCATCTTTAAATTCGTTTTTATTCGAGTGAAGAGTTGAGGTCGGCCTTTTAATTGTCTTGTTAGCGTGCAAAGAACTAAGGAGAGGATTTTATAGCTAGCGTCAGGAACCGAGGAGTCGCCCGCCCCGATCGCTGTCGGCATATCGATTAACAATAATCGGGGAACAACATGATGACCGATCCTTCGTGATCTGCCTTAATAATGCCTGATAAATTGAGTCGCGGCTCCGCGCACAGGGAGGAATGTCCTACAAATTGAATGAAACAGTAGATGCTACCTTTACTCAATAATAAAAAGACAATCCTCACTGCGTAGTAATGGTATATTACACCTTCAGTAATAAACTGCAACTGTATAAGTTAACTTGGGACATGTCTCATGAAATACTCTAGAGGACACCGGACCATCAAGGCCTTGTGGTGCAGGGGAACAGGAGATGCAGACCTCACCTGATAGCAGCTCGAGTTTCCAGCCACGGCGAGACACCGTATGCAACAGCATCCAAGGAAAGAAGTACAACGAAGAACGAGTTTAATCTCAGCCAGCCCAAAGTTTATTCCACAAGACCAACCAAGATACAGGAAAAATATAAACCTAAGGCAAACCATTCATGTAGAATAGTGATAGATCTAAGTTCCCAAATTAATTTAATTACCACTGATCCAATGAAGAAGATGCGCCTTCGTTCCCAAGTTAGTCCTCTTGTGGTGTCCGGAGTAGATAATACCTCCATCTCTCCATCTGCAGCTAAGGTTAAAATGAAGTTCGGTTCGATAAGAAACAACAATATATACGAGTTTTCAACCCGAGTGTTGCTGGCATCAGTGAAAGTTTGCCTTCCTTTGCCGTGTCCAAAGAAGTACAGAATAGATTTGCTTCGATGAACTTGCGGACCCTCAATGCCATACGCCGGGTAAAGTTGACCTACTTCTGGGTCCTGAGATTAACGGTGAGGTTTTAAGTGACCCTGTTTTATCTCTGAAGGGTCAACCGAAAGCTATTCATACCTCATTAGGATAGGTATTATTTGAGGACAGTAATAGACACTGTACTAGTAATAGACAGTTTTCAACTCATTGACAGATAATAACCTCCACACGCCCAAAAGAGAGTGCAAATATGAGTAGCATATAATAATAAATTCTTTAATTAATATCAAAAGAGGAGTTTACAGAAACTCAACTTTACAACTCAGTCCTTTAGAATCGATAGTGAAATGAAATGTAAATAGATTTTTATTATCCTGGGACTTTTGTCCCTTTAGGACAAATTATATATTCAGAGGAAATGCCTGTGTGGTCATAAAATTAAATTAAATATTTACAATGCTCATTAAAATAAAAATATTGGAAGAAAAATAAAACAAAACAACTAAATACAAACAGATATATACAATACAAACATGAGAAAATAAAATAACATAGTTAAACTAAACCATTTCTGGGGGAACTTAAAAAGTTCTCTTATCTACTTTTCATGATCAATCGGATTGGGAAAGAAATAGGCGTTTAAATAGGATAGGTTTGAAGGAGGAAACTGATTGCGCATGTCGGATATCGGGAGGGATGTTATTCCAGGTGGAGACGGTTTGAATTATAAAGGATTTGTCAAACGCAGCAGGTCGGTGAGGAGGTGGATAGAGGTCAGAAGTACTAGATCTAGTGGGATGGGATTGAATGGAATATTTAAATTGTAGGCTGTGAAAAATATAGGTAGGTCGCTGATTTCTGAGGGCTTGGTATAGGAAGGTAGCAAGGAAGTATAGACGGCGGTTGGATGGATAGAGCCACTTCAACTTGGTGTAATACTGGGTTATATGCATATCTCTTGAGATTCCGAAAACAAAACGAATAGCGCAGTTCATCAGGCGTATAAGTTTGGCCTCGAATTCTCCCGAGAGTCCGCCGTACACCAGACAGCCATAGTCAAAATGGTGGAACACAAGGGGGGAAACCGGAAAATAGAAAAAAATAGTGCAAATCACCTACGGCGATTATTCATTCAACTATCATTTCCAGTGCAAATTTCGAATCTAAAATATTTATTTTGTATTAGGAGGGAAGGAGGTTACAGGACCTCAACACATATGTAATTAAATGAAGAGTTGTATAATTTGTAAAATAGGGATTGGTCCGCCGTCATGCGTTTACTCCCTAGTTAGTATAATTTTCATTTTTTTAATGTTGTTTTGTTGGACTTTGTCGAAGAATAAGAAACTTTTCATTTCATTTCAATCACATTTCTGAAACACCTGATTCAATTTTGTTAAAATTCAGATCAGTGGAGGATCAAAGTAATAATAATTGCATATCTTTTATATACTGTTTATTTATATGATTGTAAAGGAATTTTGAGATTTGTAAACCATAACAGCCAAGCTAAGAATCGTAAATATATTCGTTGATTTACACAGTGGAGTTGATTCACAATAAATTATGATTGTAATGATAATATTCATTTTCTCCTCATTCAAACAATTGTGCTAATTAAATGCATGATGTAATGTATTGACAATTCCCATAGGCCAAAAGACAAGGCTATCGCCTACAGTCTAGGGACACAATAGACCCCTTATCAAGACTTAAGGAACAATAACAGAGTTCGGCAAAAGGTCCCCTTTCCTCACAGACAGCATATCAATCGTAAGGATTAATAAATCTAAAAAATTTATATATATTATTATACTTCCGCTTTCTAGCTCTCAAATACCTACCTTATATAATATTATATTATGATGATGTATAATATTATCAATTTACTTACTTTTATGTTCTTAATAATTTATGATAACTAATTTTAAACTATGTAAAGAATCATTCCATTTTTATAAATACAATTTTTATTTATTTATATACTATCAATTGTTAAACACTTTCGCTTTCTAGCTCTCAGACAACAATCACAGCAGCCCTCTATTTTTGGGTATATTTATCCTCATAGCCTTCAGGAGTAACTACTCTTGTAGTTACATTCCTGTAGAGACACTCTTGCGAGGAGGCCTAAATCCATGATCTAGATGTCATCAAACTCTTACAGGAGACTTGGAATTAATTCTAATGGTGAACACAGTGCATAGCATATAGATGCCATTATCAATAAAATTAGTAGTAAAACTCGTAAAAGACACTATTGTGAATTTATAAATTAAAGTGCTAAATCTGCGATTCGTTACTTGGTATTAATATATCGGTTGTAAAAACGAAAGAGATGAAAGTAAAATAGACTTCGGTACTGGATATGACATCGCCGCTTTTCATGGAAGTGAGACCAATTAATTCTTCAAGGACAATCCTGAACAGGGCATCTCGGAAAATAAGTTTGAGAACCGCTAATCCACCGTGCCCTGCAAGAGCAGAAACCTCGACATCCTCTGGTCGCTGCAGAAATAGATCGGCTCTGACGTCCGAAAGAGCGCTCTTACATAAACCACAAACTGGGGAAGAGATATAAAAAACTGTTTTGCCACGGCACTAGATCTAATTGTTCCGATAGACGGATAGATTAGGCCCCGATAACGCCATTGACGTTAATGTTTGCGCTGTCGTAGTTTTTTTTTTTTTTTTGTTTCCTCCCTAACCGCCAGGCCGCTGGTCGTTCATTATCATTATCTACAATTGCTCCAACTAATAGGCATTATCATGGACATGACAACTTCCTTATCTCGTTAAGTAAAAACAAATTAATAAATATTTATCTAAAAATACAAACATGAAACTTCTTCCTGGCTTCATAACTTAACAAAATATTAAGAACTTATTTTAGATATTTGAAGATTTGCTTTTTTATGCAAAATATTAGAGACTTGCTGCTTTTTACTGCATTCTTTGAGTTAACATTTATAGGAGATCTCTAGGCCAATTTGGAAATAAGCATCCTATTCTCCACATTTTCGATTTTAAGAAATATTTAATAAAAACGAAAAATTAAATAAAAATTCTACGTGATGTAAAGGTTTTTATTTGTTTTACTTAATTAATTATTGCATAACCAAATTATTAAGTTAATAAGTATTACTGTAAGGACATAAAATGCCCCTAGGGTTGAGATGTGGTCTGCTCAAGAAAATGATCTTCAAGAAGTTCGTGGACCACATTTTAAGAACCCATGTTTCATTTCTAGTGAAATAGATTGTTTCAGTCCTATATTTCATCTATTCATATATGAATATTAATATATATACATATTTTTGTTTATTCTTATTATTTTGAATAGTAAAACTTTGTGGTCGAGGAAAAGAAATAAAAAAATTACCATCATGATTTAAAAATACGGCCGAGTAGAAATTTCTAAATATTAAAAATAAAATAAAAAATGAATACGCGGCTTCTTCCTGATATTGGGACAATTTATTTTTATTAACGAAACTGACAAATCACCTACAATGTTCGTGGGAACTCGTTTACCATCCAGTCGAAAATGGCGGGGAATTAAATGCTTTCATTTATTATATGCAAAAAAAAAAAAAAATGGTCGAAAAATATTTAATAAATATTTTTTTACAGTTCAAATAAGGCTTTTACATCATTAATAGTTCAAACCTAGTAACTATACTTCTTAATTATTTATCTTTTAGGTTTCTGATTATTTATTCTCGAAACTTTGCATTTACATCACCTCCTTGCACTGTCAATCAAAAACCAGGGTTTTACTGGAAAATGCCATGATCATAACATTAAAAGGAATTTCGTGGAACAAGTTTATAATTTACTAATCAGCATTATTATTTATTGTTACAGCAGTATTTCTAGAGAACTATAAACAAATAGTTAAGATATTCGGGAATAAGTAATGACGACTACAACAGTTATGATTTGATTCATTTCGTTTAGTTGCTTCTTAAGTTGCAGGTTAGAATACTGAGGATTGTGAAACATGTATATAATTTAACTTTGTTAATCAATTTGGATAACTTTATTTAAACTAACAAAGAAATGAGTAATAGAAATAGAAAAATCATGCGAAAAATATTTATTTACAAATGCTAATCTTGACACTGCTGAAAAGTGAATCGAAGGGCTGCAGCCAGGCGCGGGTATACGAGCACGCACAGCGTATTGACACAGCAGGTTGTGCCACTAGTATACTTGCTGAGTCCAAGGAGGTTCATATACATGTATACACATATCCAATACAAATACATAAACGATGGCAGGCATATGCGTTTAATTAGTAAAATAATTATTATTTATCACTACAAAACACATAAATTCAAATTCTGGCGGTTAGCTAACAACTATTCTCAATCCAACCCGTTTTTCTTAATTACACCAATGTTCTATTATTATATATTTTTTCTCCATTCAATTGCAGTCGCTAGGTTCACAACCCATTGAACCTTGATAACCAAGTAGAACGTAGAATGGTTGATGCTTCCATTGTAATACACGGCTTCCATCCAAATTTCCATCCTAGAATGACACGTGTTGATAATATCATTGTCGCTATCAGAGAAAAGACAGCGTCTTCTCCGTTATCAGAGCACTGATTTAAATATAGCTACACTGGCATATCTAATCTATATCTTTTGCATAGGATTCCTCTATTTATCACGTGAACATCTTACGTAAAACATGTTCTGGCTTCCGTCCATGCCACTATCTGACATCTTGGAAAGACGTCCTGCTTCTATACTAACGATGGGATTGGTTACATAATATGATTCTTTGAAAATAAAAGTGTTGGCTGAAATGTTCTCTGGAAAAAGAATCTGTTTCACACAAATAGGTTTAATGGATATGTCTGTTAATAGAATACCGTTTAAAACGAAAGTAAAAAACTAACCAGGACAGTATGCTCAAGTTTGAAATTTGAAGACAATCTTTTTAGTTCAACGTATCCAGAGTGTGCGACAGGATGTTTAGACACAACAACAAAGTCGTGTTGGGGATGTTACCGGGTGTACGCTGTATAAATTTTGAATAATAAATAATGAATAAATAACTAAAATATAAAAATACATTACGAATATAGATTATATGCAAAAAGACTAATATAACTGTAAAACTTCCCATCAAAGCTTAATTTTTAGAATAAATGGATACCTGTAATGCCATCAATTACATGTAGTGGTTACAAAAAGTTCCTAAGAGACTTTTACGTATCACAAAGAACTTCGTTCAAAAAAATATGGGTACCTAAGTCAGCCGACAGGTTCAGGTTTTCCGAACCGAGGCAATCATGGTTGCTGTAACATAATGAATAATTATTTGTCACAGCAGCACTCGCAACTGGGCCTTCAAGAATAGGTACAAAATGCCTTATCCATTGACCTAGATCACATATTTTTATCAATGGATTTTTTTTTTTCTGTTGTCATTACGTACCATGTACATCTTTTGACGCCTTAACAAGCATGCTCCACATCTGTCTTGGGCTATTTCATTCCATTTATCTGCACGCAGCTCTTTGTTGATTCTATCTATCCATTTGATTTTTGGCCTCCCACGTGGTCTTCTGCCTTCTATAAAGGCATTCATTGTTACGAGCTACATGCCCAGCCCATCTTAACCTCCGTGCCTTCATATCATGGGATATTGTTTGACCAGTTTCTGTAAGCAGTTCTTTATTAGTCTTTCTTCTACATGTTTTAGTACTCTGATTCCAGATAGCTCCGGTTATCGTGGGGAGGATATTCTCTCAAATCTTTTTTTTTTTTTGTAGGATGCTGGTTAGCGTCCAGGTCTCACAGCCATCAATGGAATGTATTAAGCACTATTTATTTCCAAAATTAGAAATATAGTAGATTATTTGTAATATAAAAATTGTGTTACATCAGTTTTGGAGAACTATGTCAAGGTTATAAATGAAAAAGCTTGAATATCATAACGGAAGTGTTTCTACAAACTGGTCTCACCCACTTTCTCTAATGTTAATTTCTGTTTTTCGCATGTCAAGCTTAAATGATCAACATTTTTTTTTTTTTTAATAACATGATACATTTACAAATTACATAATTTGCCAAAGGACCATATCGACGCCTACTGATGTGCTGGTTTGAGTAATATTATGAAATTACGTAAGTTTATTTAGTTTTAATATTTACTCTTACATAATATGTTTTGAATTTTTAGACATTAAAAGTTTATTTTAAGGGGTATATTATATCAATAGTTCTCGTGGAAGAATAGTACCATATTTTACAAGAAAAGAATTGGAACTACTTTTATTTATGTTTTTTACTGTCTCTAATTTAGCTTATAATATCGTGTCGGACATTTTCTTTGTCCACATTTTCTTAACAAAACAAAAAAGCTAACCATCATATTTTTATCATTTAAATTAAAGTAGAGTTTAAAGTAGAATTGAAGTAGTTTTTCACATAATCTGTCAAATTAAATATACATGACTTCCAAGCAAAACAACGTAAAAATTTCAAATTTTTGTATTGAGATGCTTTGTTTCTGAATTAACGAAATACTATTACCATAAAAAAACGAATCTTTGTGTCACGATACTTTATTTATGTTGTTGCATCGATAGACTCGTTGTGCAACTGTAAGTATCCACTCGTATTGTTTCTGATGTATATTTTATTAATTATTTGTGGCAAAACTAAATTTATTAAGATATATATTTGAGTGAAAACCATATTTAATGAACTAGTTAAAAGAACAGTTACACAATCATTTTCAAGTTCTATTGATACATCTGAATATTCAATGGAAATAATGTATCAGTTAACTGATCCTAAAGTAACTTTAAACAGACAATCTTAAAATTACAGGAATTAATGAACTCTATATTGGATATGGACTGTTTGAGTAACAGGCTAAACATTAAAATGAATTGATTTTTTTCAAATAGCAAACGTAGAAGCATAACCATTAGATTTTTTAGATTCACTCTGTCTGGAATTCTAGCAATAGAAGAACCCATCAAGAATAGGCAGAAGAATCTATCCAATATCGACAGAAGAAGAAAACTCATTCAATAAGAAAATTTCCATTTTCCAACATTAAACTATCCAATATTTGCATATAAGGAGCAGAACGTCCTTACAAGATGAGAGTCAGTGACATGGCCGTAAGCCATAACATGTTTTACATAACATGTTCACGTGATGGCGCCATGAATGGAGGAGTCCTATGCAAAAGATGATAAAAAGATATGCTATTGTAGCTATATTTAAATCAGTTCCCTGATAGTGGCTTGTATTACGCTGTCCTTTCTCCGATAGCGGCTACGGCAGTATCTACACAGGTCACCGCCAAAGGGCAACTACGTCTTTGTGACATGCGGGTAGCAGACTGTGCACTATCATGGAAGCGTTAACCATTCCACGGTCCGCTTAGCAATCAAGGCTGAATGAATGAGATGTTTACCAAAACATTGTATTACCCAAGCCGAAATTGGATCAATCTGTTGGCAGCAACGGTTTGGGAAGAAGTATAGTTCTAACTGCATATATTATAATGTGATTACCATTAAATATATTGTACACTATTATTTTCACTGCTTAATGAATATAAATATCTAGTTTCGCACAAAATAAATCTTATCTTCGAAAACAATGAACCTCATATGTGTACACAAAAACAATTGAACGTTAAGATTAATTTTTATTTGAAACGTCTGGAATACAATCAAAATTTGGGGAAAAAAAGTGGAAGGGGGAAACAATGAGTAATTTAATTGCAAGGCATCGAATCCATGAAGGCCTATCTACGATCCAAGACACAGCTTTGTATGTTCCCTCTACAACCGATGGTCAACCCAACAAAACGCTTATTTACAAAGTTACAAGCACGATATCATCGACTTAATTGGGTATCTCTAACTTATTTCAAATTTAACAGAACAATGTATTCAAAAATGTTTAATCGAATAAAATTGAGTAGATTTTATCAGAGCGTAGTCATAGAAACTCGCTGAAATTGGAAATCTGAAGTAATATTTAAGAAATTAAAATTTCTTGACATTGAAAAAAAAAAAAAAATGACATTGAAATATTACACAGATAAGACAACATATTATTTCACAAAAAAACAATACAATGGATTAAAGTTTTTACATATTTAGTGTAAGAAGAATTGTGTTCCTTCAATATTAACCACAGGGTTTCTCGTGTGCTCATATGTCATGTGACGACATACTGAATTTACTGAACTTTAACCTACTTCTAATGGGCAATACATCTTTACTATCATTCTTTCCCGAGTCCTAAGAACCAATAAACATCCCTCCATCCTTGATTTCCCCACTCCTATTTAACAGTTTCCTTCCTACACCTAATCTTTCACTTTCCCGACTTATTGTTTTATCAATTATTTACCCATCTCTATTAGTCTCCTCTTCAAATTTTCTTTTAAATAACAAGCGACCATCATAAATCGATGAATTCTTAATTAATAGCAGTTTTCTTGCTCAGACTTTCCTGCACAGAAGATACAACAGATTTCTGGAACATTACTAATAAATAAAAATTAGAGATTAAAACTATTGTGAATGTAGAAATTTACATTTTTACTCTGTAATACGCTAATTGTTGATGAAAAATTGATTAAATTAAACTAAATTTGTAATGGAAATTATTTTTGCTCTTTTAAATTTATTTTACCAATGGTATATTGCCATATTTTTGAAAAGAATAATTTGTAATTATTAAACAATAGTATACTTGTAAATATTATATATATATATATATATATATATATATATATATATATATATATATATATATATATAATATTCAATAATAATATATATAATGTAAAATAAATTTAAAAGAGCAAAATAATTTCAATTACAAATTTAGTTTAATTTAATCAATTTTTATTAATATATATATAGTATTGAGTATGGGTATTTAGTATATATACTATATATAAAGACAAAATTATTATAGCAATATAGATTACATATCTAGACTTGTGCAATGAATGACTCAATAAAAATAAATATAATATTTCAAACTGTTGACTTAAAGTTATTAATATTGATAACATTCATTGAAGCTAGAGAAGGGACTAACTACTTCTATAAATATCCGATGGATAGCGCTGAATACATCTCAGAAGAATTATAGACGTAACCGCAATACTACAAAGAACTTTATTTTGCTTCAATCATATTAGTTTAATTACAATTCTTATTCAATATTTTGAATTGAATTGAGCAGAGTATTAAATAACATTTAATACAAATAATAAAGCAAACAGAACAACAGCCAGACAATAGATTGACCAACGGACAAGTTACTGCAACTATCTTTTGGATTTTCTTGACCATCTTGCTGGCCACTGTCCCAAAGGCGTAGTAACTCTGTCAGGAACCAGAAATAGCCCTGACATCGGGGACACGGCCGGAATAATGAAGACAAATTTTGATGCATGGGACGATCCAGGAACAGCAATTTGCGAAGGTCGAGGTGGATTCCAATATACAGATCAGGACAAAGGATCAACTTTAGGAATCTACAGGATGTAAAACATACAGCGATGTGTGTATTGTATATACATACATGTTTATAGGCCATAGCTTATAACG